CATTTAATAAACCTGAATTTATCTCTGTTGAGAAATAGAGTCATTATAATATAGATTACCGGTCAAAAACAGAGACACGCCCAGATTATTATTATTATTATTATTATTATTTTTATTTTCTTTGATTTCTGGCGTTTACACATTTCTTTCCGGGTCCCGCCCAGGGATCTAAGGTTAGAAATGGCGTCATGACACTTTCCACTGACAAAAAAAAAAAAAATTACATCGATAAAGCCCTTCGTAAAGTGTGGGGCTATACTTGTCAGAACAATTTTTTGTATCTCCTTGAGGCATGGACTTCCAGGAATCCCTTCAATTAGTCTACTGGAATCTTTTCCAACCAGTCCTAGGGCTCCAACTACAACAGGGATTGTTGATGTTCCCATATGCCACATTTTCGAGATTTCTATTTCAAGGTCCTTGTATTTTGACAACTTTTTGAATATCTTCAAAGATACATTGCAGTCAGCAGGGACTGCCATATCAATAAGGAGGCATCGTTTTTGTTTGTGGTCTTTAATAACAATTTATTATTATTATTATTATTGTTATTATCATTTTCTTTGATTTCTGGCGTTTACACGTTTCTTTCCGGGTCCCGCCCAGGGACCTAAGGTTAGAAATGGCGTAATGACACTTTCCACTGACAAAAAAAAAAAAAAATTAAATTTATTATTATTATTATTATTGTTATTATTATTATTATTAAATGAGTGAGCAGCGCGTCATCAAAGTGGCGCTGGGGTACAAACAAAGCCCAATATATCCAACCTGACACCCAGGCTGATAAGTGTACCAAGCACATGCATCACATTATTATTATTATTATCATTATTATTATTATTATTATTATTATTACATTGCCGAGGCAGAGTTATTAGAACGCTCACTTCGCTTATCATTAAACCCGGCTTCGAATCTTGCCAGGGTCGAATTTTCAGGGAAAGTGCCTGAAACCATAGCACGGTTTGCCTCAAGCCTTGTGAGTGAAATTTGGCAGGCGAAACTTTTCGGGAGCCTACGAGAGTTGTTCTAGCACGATGTCACAAGTCATCGTAACCGAGGGGTTGAGTGTACTGGCTTTGTTAAAAAATGTCGATCACGCCAGGTGATGAACACTTTCCTAGAAACTGTAGCTAAGGTCGCCTCAGCTTACTTGCAGTATAAACCAAAATTGAGTTCTGTGGGTGTTCAACTAACATAGATGTGCCGAAAGGCATCTGCTACAGGGTGTGCTCGGAAACGAGTAGCCAGACAGTATTATTATTATGATGTTACAAATTGCTTTTACTTCAATTTTGGGGCATTTTAACTGTATTGCGCTGACTGAAATATCACTACGATGTGCTGTTTTTTGCTATGTTAGGTTAATAAATCAACAAACAAAAATCGGAGCTTTTTAAATACATACATCAGATTATTATGGATCTATATGCAGAATGTTTGAAAATAAATCGAAATGTATTTAGTAATTAATAGACACAATTCTTGAAAGTTTCTAGGTCTTGAAGTGAAATGAGGTGACAAGGAGATAGCAGTTTTATGTGATTTTACCCGGGCTCGAACTGACCATGGTCGCTCGTGCTAAATAAGATATATTCTAACTCACCAAACACTTTCGAGGCAAGGCTTCTAGTTTCCACAAAAATGTTCCTTACATAACATCATTCAATTCTTTTCGGTATACAAACCTCCCGCTGGGACTTTGGCGAAATTCTATCTCGACTATCATTCACCATTAATAACTCTGTTGCCATAAACATTTTCGATGCACTGAGGCTAATAGCAAATATTTCTATACAATGAAAATTATACTGCGAAATTTACGTTAAGGGTTTCAGGTTATGGGTTTTAAATTTCCCAAACACAAAGGAAGATCACATTATTTATGACAACAATAATAATGTAGTTATCGTAATGATATATTCTGATCCAAAGAAAAGATAATAGCATTGTATAATGTCAGTAGTCACATATCTGAAAAAGAAAGCTTATAACTGCGATAAATGCAACACATAAGGTTTTAACTAAAATAACAGATATTAAACATAACTTTCAAAACCTGGGACACACTTTTCCAATTAGATTAAATCTTCTTCGGCATTGGTAAAGATTAAACTTACTATACTGAGTACATTGGTTGTCGAAAAAATGATTTTTACTATTTTACTGCGATAGGATAAGGCGTTTTATGCAGGTCGTAAAGTAGACGGGTTTGTTTTCTATTCTATTAATATATATTATGCCTTTAAATTATTCGAGGAATTTAAAGTCATAATATATATATATATGAGGTCCACAAATATATATATAAGAGGGCCAAAATATGAAGCCAATATATATTATATATATATATATATTGGCAACGATATATATATATATATATATATATATATATCGTTGATATATAATATATATATTATATATTGGTCCGATATATATATAAGTGTGTGTGTGTGTGTGTGTGTGTGTGTGTGTGTGTGTAGACCAGTTGCCATCCAAGGCTATAGAATCCGGTCTGTCTTGCTATTTACTTATAGCTAGGGGAATTCATACCTTTCCCGAGGGTATCAGCACGTAAGTGAATATAATGGATTTGACTGGAATTTGAACTCAGCTCTCCGATTCCTCAATCCGAGCCGCTATCTGTTGAGGGCTTCTCCCCTTTTTACACAAATGAACTCACCCAGTATATACATATACTACGGCTACTTGAAGACCCGAGAGAGCAAGAGTCGAGTCGAGTCGAGAGTGACAGAGTGAAAGGTTGTAGGTAACCGGAAGAGTGAGGGTGAGGTAACAGCGTTGTAGGAGTCACCGTGAGCGAGCACGTAGACTCAATAAGAAGTCATACAGCGATACTTCAATACCAAAGATTGTATAGATATTTTGCTACTAACCCGTATTCCTGGAACTACTAACCTGCTTTACCAGTTTGTATTATTACGTTAATACATTATTTCCATATATTCATTCCTGGCGTTTGTTATTTATTGGTAGCGGATTTCAACCCGGAATCTACAACACTATCCATTATTCCACCGTGTCTCCTTATTTTAGAAATGTTTGTTCTAATTTGGGTAGTGCCAGTAAATCTACGAAGACGGAAATGATATTAAGGAAACTTGAAGAGATTTTGTTTAACATAGAATCGAAATTAAGATTTTCGCAAACTGAAGCAAAAATTTAAAAAAAAACATTTTTTTATTTAAACAGACTGGCTTCTCACGCGTCCATATTCATGAAAGAAAGTAACACGTTCCACATTTGGATCTTTGCGAGCTATAGAAAAAAATGTGAAATTCATGTGAAAGTTTCTATGTTTTTATTTTAATTTTTTCGAAATTAGTTTGAGTGTGGCTGAAAAAAAAGTGCATCCCTCTCAAAAAAAAAAAACAGTTTTTTTAAAACTGCGGATATTACTAAGAGCAAAAGAAAATGACAAGAAGCTGTGGTGAGCGATGATCACTCACATCTTGAAGGGACACGACTTGAAATTGGGCATATCTCAATTAAAACGTTAAAATCATGCTGAAGACACACTGTTTTCTGTTCGGTCATTGAAATTAAGTAGCATCGAGTCTGATTAGTACTGAGGTGGGGCGTCTAGGAACAATCGGTAGTGTAAACAGCGGCAGAGATATCATCGTGATATGATCTGGGCATTAATAAACCCGCCCGTGTCTATCCAGCAGACAACTCGAATTGTATGCGGCGCAGGTAGTCTCCAATTATCTCGACTGGTTCTTGTCATTGCATCAAGGTTATCTGACGCTTATGATCCGCATCGTGTGACGCAAGCTAGAAATAGTCGCATCGAATTTATGGAGGTTGCGGTGAGCCACCTCTTACGCCACAGTTTGTTTCGTGACCGTCCTCGTGACCATCATCATATACCTGGAAAAAACGTTTCGAGAACTTTTTCAGACTAATAACGGTTTTCTGGATAGAATTAATCTTATATATAAAATTCCACCAAGAAAATCGCGATTAGTCGAAAGATGTTCTTTCTCAAAACGAAACGCTCATTTATTTTTTTTTTTATTTTTCATTCACTTACCCACTATTTGTTTGTTATATATATAAACATATATATATATCATATATATTTATATCATATATATATTTATATCATATATATATATTTATATCATATATATATATATATACAGACATATATCAATTTTCTAAAGAAGTAATGTATTTTTTATTAATCCGTCAGATTAAACGTAAATTTTAGTGAATACTCGTATATTTATTTGTCTACTGACATGGATATTCGAGAAATCTTATTAAAAAAAAAATATGAAATCTCCGACAGGATTCGAACCTGCGTCCATTACTTTGGAAAATTGTTTTGTTTATGTTTGAATACGAAACTGGGCAGATAGGAAAATTTTTAGAGTTTTATGACGTGAAGAATTTCGCCTAAAAGCCTTTTCTCACTTTTCCTGATTGGCTAACGACTTCCTGCCTCAGTCGGTATCGAGCATATCGTATATAAAGGCGGCCCGCTCTGCCGAGGGAGATACCGGTTCGAATCCTACCAGAGAATGCGTATTCTTCTTTAAAATTTGTAGAATATTTTGGCCGGTAGACAAAAATAAATAAACAAAGCGTCTACTCAAATACAAGCATCCATTTCAAATAACGTTTAATGTGATAGATATTTATTTATTAAATATGATTAATACGCTACTGCGATTAAACTTTTTATTTAATATTTTTTTTTTTTTTTTTGCATTCGTCCAAATATTTTCTTTTCTAGACATAAAGTGTGTAAAAACTGTACAAATGTTCTATACGCCCGAGCAGTTTCGGCTATTGGACATTATCAAGGATTATTTCTTGTTTTAACTGAATAAGTAGATTTTTATGTATATGTATCTATAATGATTTTTTTTTTTTCAAAACACTCACACACGTTGTGGCCGCATTCATAGTTGATATTATTTTCAAATTCAACGAAATTTTGGGTAGTTTTTTTCGATAACTTTTAGTTTCCTTTCCCTCTCTTCCTCTATCTGTCTCTTGTTGTCTCTCTCCCTCTCTTTCTCTCTCTCCCTCTCTCTTTCTCTCTCTCTTTCTCTCTCTTTCTTTCTTTGAAGTGGTGAGCAACATTATTTCAGAAATAGTACTTTTTTTTCCAAGTGCAAGACTGAATGCACGAGCTTAACTTAAGTTCAAATATTTTAAATCCGAGTTTAACTTCCATAGAAAATTGCTACGCTCTCTCTTAAAGTAAATGGCATGCTTCATTGACTCTATACACACCTGACTAACCGCCAAAGAAAAGAGTATGGCGGGGAAGGTAGAATTTCCTTTTACTTTTAGGGGTGCGTAGGGAGTGCAGAACAATTCGTGTTTACAAAGAAATCGAATCGTTTGTATCTACAAATTCAATGAACTATGAATTTTTCTCCTCCTTCTTCTTCTTCTTCTTCTTCTTCTTCTACTTCTTCTTCTTCTCCTCCTCCTTCTTCAACATCTTCTTATACTTCTTCTTATTATTATTATTATTATTTTCTTCCTCCTCCTTTTCTTTTTCTCCTTCTTCTTCTCCTTATTTTTCTTCTTCTCCACCTTTCTTTCTTTCTTTTTTCTTTCTTTGTTCTTCTTCTTCTCTCTTCCTCCTCCTCCCCTTCTTTTCTTTTTCTTCTTCTTCTTCTCCTCCTCGTCGTCTATTACATTTCCATCTCTTTCTTCTTCGTCTTCCTCGTCTTCATCTTCATCTTTTTCCTCTTCTTTTTCTCTTTCGCTGATATCCTACCTTGTAGATTCTTTTAACGAGAATTTGATTTCTTTCTTTTTCGAATTCGAGTGTTTTTTTTTTCCTTCTGCTTTTTATTCCACCTCTTTCTCGTCTTCTTCTCTTCCTCCATTTTTTTTTCATTCAATGCTTTCATTATTATCATTATGTTATTTTGACATTACTACTTTCTTTATCCGTGTTACTGAGAACGAAAAGGAAAATACATTACGCTTAAAATAAAAAAAAATATATAAATAAAGACATTTCGGTCATCGAGCGATGATAAAAGAAAGAGAGCCTTGCACCAACATTGCACGTGAACCAGAGGGTCAAGCACCGAAGCAAGGCCGGGTGCCTGGGTGTATTTGATAAGAAAAGCCATTCAATGGCTCAGTACTACAATAGAGCCAATAGGCCAAGAGAATGATTTCAAAAAAAAGAAAAAGAAAAAAGAAAAAAAAGGAAATCGCACATAATCCTGTTTTTAGCAAACTTTCAATTCACAAAATGACAAGAATGTCAATCGATGAGACAAAATGAAAAAAAAAGACACAGCGCCAAATGAAGTGAAAATGAATTTTGGTAGAAATACCAAACATGTCTATCAGTTTCTTTATCGAAATCAACCAGTTTCTTGCTATCTCTACTATTTTGTTAGGCTATCATTTTAGTATATTCCTATCTATCTTTCTATCGCAGTCTATTCTTACAGAACTTTTTCTTTCTTTCTTTCTTTCTTTCTTTTTTGTTATCAGTCTCACTCTGTTTATATCGACCTTTCTTTCTATCACAGTCTTCCCATGTATATCTCAATGTGTTCTCATCTATTCAAGTTAATTTCTATTCACATAATGTCTATTTATATTTGACATATATGTTTAGTCTGCTTCTAGCCAGCTAAGTACTTACAACTATTTGCATTTTTAGATAGATAGATAGATAGATAGATGTGAACAGACAGAAGAAATAGATAGATAGATAGATAGATAGATAGATAGATAGATAGATAGATAGATGTGAAAAGACAGAAGAAATAGATAGATAGATAGATAGATAGATAGATAGATAGATAGATGATGAAAAGAGTGAAGAAATAGATAGATAGATAGATAGATAGATAGATGTGAAAAAAAAGACAGAAGAAATAGATAGATAGATAGATAGATAGATAGATAGATGTGAACAAACAGAAGAAATAGATAGATAGATAGATAGATAGATAGATAGATAGATAGATAGATAGATAGATAGATAGATAAAATTAATTTAACCCCACTCATATATATATATATATATATATATATATATATATATATATATATATATATATATAGTGTATTGGGGCATCAGATCATTATTTAAACATATATTGTTAAACATAACAGACAATGAACAGCTATTATGTTTGATCATGAGCCGTTGTAAACTTCGTATGGTTGCTTTAATTTTGGGTGAAAATAAAGACAAAAATTGTCCAACATTTGGATATTTTTTAAGCTCTTCCTTCATCTAAGCTTTCGGCTCACATGAGCCATCCTCAGGGTGATTATATGGATATTCTGTTGTGTTGAGATAAATGATTGCTCTGCGACGATAACGGTCGCAGAATAGCAGACGCGGGTCGTAAATTCATAATGCGGTTCCATAACGTCGTATCACGTGAGAGACCGAAATATTAACAACAGATAAATATGTCTAGATGCAATGTAATGTGTTGTGACTAGTTTGAAATGTAATTTTGTTGAGTGTGGGTTGCTTTGTTTTAATGTAGATGGCCTCCAATATCTGAAGGTTCTTTTTACTGTGTGTATGTGTGAGTATTATTGTGTTATCAACTAATATCTGTCTAATATTATGTACATGGCTATGTTTTTCTAAGAAATGTTGTTTAATAGAACTAAAATCAAAAAGGCGACAGGTAAGTCTACGGGAGAGTGTGGTTGTAGTAAAACCAATATATGTAGTTCGTTTATTATTAGCATCAAAGATACAATCTCTGAACGGGCATGTAAATTGGTACGATGGCATCATGAATTTACGGTCTGCGCCTGCTATTCCTCGACCATTATCGTCACATAGCAATCTTCTATGTCAACATAACAGAATATCATTAGAAGTTCGTGTTTTCTTACAGAACGACAATTTCTATATTTAGATATTAATTTAGGAAATTATTTAACTAATATGAAAATGATATTCTCTACTTTTTCGAATGAGGCTAAAATTCATTAGATAATTTAATCTGAATGTTTACCTATAATTACAATTATTTTATTTTATTTTTCTGAATTAAGCATACGCATAAGTATCAAATAAATCGTTTCCTAATAACAACGAATTGGTGAATTCTTAACTTTGTAAATTGTCACAGAAAATAAAAACGCTCTTCAGGACTCAGAAAATAGAGAAGATGATTGAATGTAATTTCCATTGTTTTCTTTCTTCAAATAATCCCAGAGAAATATACTTCATTCTATTGAAGACAACGCAATAGAATTATTATTATTATTCCCAATGTCGAATTGAACAACTGTTTACCTGACGCAACACAGTCGTTTGCCTTGTCTTCCGCTTTATTATGTACTAAAATTAAGCAATCCGGTCTATATGGCCCGACGTAATGTTTTTTCTCACTTTTCAGTTCATACAGCCAGATCTTTGCAAATAATCTTCTATTTCTACAAAGGTTGTTTATATATTTTGCTAATGTGTTAGTATCGTAATATATAATAATTTTACCCCAAAAGGTAAGGGAATTTGAACAAATTACTTGAATAGAATGTCATGTGAATATTAACACGTAACCGTAAAACACGGTTACGTCTCCATCTACAAAGAATACAATGTAACTGTCTGATGGTAACATGCCTGTGTCGGACAAATAAATATGAAAATGGATTTACTAGTTGTCTCTGCAATCAAATAATCACTTTAATCCACTACGACACAAAGAAAATGAATAGCCAAGTAATTTTGTTCAAATAATAATAAATATCATAATGTGAGGAGTTCAATATCTTCCTGTCGTTCCGTTTATCTTTTTCAAAACCATAAAAGGCCGGACGCAGTTCATAAAGTTGATTCGTAAGATAATCAGTCTGCAGCCAGACGCCATTTTTCTTTTGCAAAGAAATAAAAATGAGTTCTTTTAACTGCAAATATATCGAAATATTTTGTCTTGTTCCTTTTTAAGTTAAATTTTGATTTGACAAACAGCGCAGAAAATTTTCATTTCAAATAACAAACATAGAACATCGATTTTATTTCTCGTTTGAACTTATTTCATTTTCATGGTTTTTTAAATAAAAGTAGGCGTTGCTGTAAGATTACCACAAAACACACACATATGAATTTTTAAATGCATTTCTCGATTAAAGTATATATATATATATATATATATATATATATTTATTTTTATAAAAAATTTATAACATAAGTATATAAAAAATCACTAAAATAATGCTGTTAAACACACTCTGTGTCTTATTGATAAGACACAGAGTGTGTTGAAAACAAAATGGCTATTTTTGTAGTGATTTTATAACATACTTATGTTATAAATTTTTTATAAAAAATAATTATATCTGTTTCTACTTTGTATTGAGCACTCTTTAAGAATAGTAATTGTTGGTTATTGGAATTCATTCCGTGTATACCAATTATATACTTTGATATATATATATATAATATATATATATATATATATATATATATATATATATATATATATGATATAAAAGGCTCAAACGCTAATATTCCATGATTATAATTTATTTCATTGGAATCGTAATTACGATCCAATTCATCAGACCTTCTGATAAATTAATTCCCAAGAGGATAGAATCCAGGTAGAACTCAATGTCCAGGACAGAGTAAGAATATAATATAAAATGCTCAAACACTAATATTCCATGGTTATAAATTTATTACATTGGAATCGTAATCACAATCCAATTCATCAGACCTTCTGATTCTATCCTCTTGGAATTAATTTATATATATATATATATATATATATATATATATATATATATATATATATATTGACACTAATATTACATATATATATATATATATATATATATATATATATATATATATATATATATAATCTATGTAATGCGTATATTTTGGTAGCATGTTTTCATTGGGACATGTTTCATTGAATAATTTAGACCAATATCTGTCTACTTATTTTCAGTTGGATCCTTTAATATTCACGGATAAGTTTTTTGATGTCATTATTGGAGAACGAGAGAAAATCGCCGTGTTTATAAATATTTCTTTTATTCCGAGTACTTTCGACGCAGCACAATGTCATCATCAGGGTGTCATCATCATCATCTTGCAATAAACAACACGCTGATGATGACAATGTGCTATGTCAAAAATACTCGGAATAAAAGAAATATGTATAAACACGGCGATTTTCTCTCGCCCTCCAATAACAACACCAAAAAATCTTATCCGCGAATATGAAAGGATCAAATTGAAAATGATTAGACAGAACATATCCAAATTATTCAACGAAACACGTTTCAATATATATATATATATATATATATATATATATATATATATATATATATATATATATATATTTAAAGATATTATTGTAAAAAATTTAATAATCGAAATAAAGTATAAAATTTAATATTACAAGACATATATAAATAATATTAAATTTTTTTTTTTCAAAAAAAATTACACACATATATATATATATATGTAATTTTTTTTTTTTTTCAATAATCATTCACATTGTACATTTTCTGTTTTAATATTGAATCTCCTGTGGAAGTTTTGACGAGCGGGAGCGAAACTGGTTGCTTCTGTTGTTTTTTTTTTTATTATTTAATATTGTTTTAATATGTCTTGTAATATTAAATTTTATACTTTTATTTCGATCATATATATATATATATATATTCGGATTATTTTTTTTTAATTTTTCGACCATTTTCCTGGTTTCAAGAACACTAATATAAATGCCCAGTAACGGTGTACATTCGGCTTTCATTATCAAAGTCTTTAGTATTTTGAAGCCATGTTGGTTCTATCATTTTCAAATATAGCGTCTTCGCGTTTTCCCATGTTATTGTTTGTTTTTTTATTCATGAAATATATTTTGCATGTTCGTTCATAAATTGGTTGACATTTTATTGTTGATTGGTAGTTTGTCTTTACGCTTCTGGCTTCGAGCACTTGTTATCGTTTTCTTGCAGTTTATACTGTAGTTTTATGTTTGTTACAATTTATCTAATTTCTTGATTTTATTTGTTGCTTGATTTAATTGAATAATTATCAAATAAATGGCACTTTACACATTGACACCCCACACACATATATATATATATATATATATATATATATATATATATATATATATATATATATATATGAAATATAGTCTTAAGATGTGCTATATTTATGGGATAAAGTGCTCAATATCAGAGATAGAGGTAATATAAAAGTGAACATAGAAGTCAACACTTAGAGACGACAGTCTGTTTCATGCTATATGCAATCGTCAGGCCACTATAGTTGACTTCTATGTTCACTTTATATATATATATATATATATATATATATATATATATATATATATATATATATATATATATATGAGGAAATATTGAAAAGTTCATGGTACGTTTAAGAATGGTTTCCCTCTAAATTATGTTGTCTATTCATTTGGAACTTAAAGAATACTCACATGTTACTGCTTTCCGCAACTTAAAATTTCATGTGAACATTTAGATACATACATACATACATACACACGTGAGTATTTTTTACTTATACTTTATATTGGGTCTGTTTTGTATATATAGGTA